TAACTAGAGCGGTACAAGGAAGCGACCTCATGTAAAAATAAAGTTTAGTAGGAGTCAGGTACTTAACTAGAGCGGTACAAGGAAGCGACCTCTTGTAAAGATAAAGCTTAGTAGTAGTAGTCAGGTACTTAACTAGAGCGGTACAAGGAAGCGACCTCATGTAAAGATAAAGTTTAGTAGGAGTCAGGTACTTAATTAGAGCGGTACAAGGAAGCGACCTCTTGTAAAGATAATTTTAGTAGGAGTCAGGTACTTAACTAGAGCGGTACAGGGAAGCGACCTTTTTCCCAACATCTTTAGCGACGGAGCGTAAGTACGAGTTCCACTTTAGTTCTGGGTTGAATTTAAAGACAATTTGATGTACTTAGGTCCTTACTCTCCATACAAACAATTTTGCTGGATTTCGCAATTAATATCAAGTTATAAAAATTGTTATCATCAAAAAAATTCGTCACAAAAAATCACGTTAAAAACTGGTTTAAAACAATTGCACTAATGAAAATTTGTGAATCCAAAATTTCAGGATTGCGGGTCCAGCCCGGAATGATTTTTAATGTTTGCTCACGGAGTCGGCCTGATTCCAAAATGGTGTGATATGTCGGACTACGGCCTCTAGAAGTATATTTGAAAACGCGGACAATTTTATTTGGAAACACTGTAGTTTAACAACAGTCATTTTTTCATTTGCACCTGAACTAGTAAAAGTTAGAGAATTGTGTCCCTTTATTTGTTTTTATCAGTAGAAGCCAAGATGGCGTAATCCGAAAACAATCACAATAATGAAAACTTGGGAAATCAATATTTCAGGATTGCAAATTGGGATCCGACCCGAAATGTTTTTTAATTTGCTCACGGAGTCGGTCTCATTCCAAAATGACACGTGTTGGGCTACGGCCTGGAGGAGTAGTTTAAAACATGTGACACACTGACGTTCGCAATTATATATATATATATATATATATATATATATAGGTGTGATTTCAGTAAGGATACTAATAAAGTAAACATCAAGTGTATGACATTTTGTCTCGCTTTATTGCTGGTCATTATCTTAACAGCATAAGATATGCATATGACACAACGTTGACAGCTGACACGAAAAGAAACCTAGAAAAGCTCCCAGGGAAGATAATCAAGGAAAGCGAGAAGAAAGGACTAAGCATCAACTGCAGGAAAAAAGGCGGACGAGCCCAAAATGCAAATTTCCAAACGGAGATACAAAACTGTAACAAGTACAACAATTTAAATGTCTGGGAAGTATTTTTAACAGAGGACAGAAATTACGAAACTGAAAACTGAAGGCGGATTGCGATAGCCAAATATGCTTTCCAGAATCTAAGCAGAGTATTAAGAAACAGAAAAAAAAACTTCGTCAAAAACAGGGTACTAAACAGTTACGTGATATCAGTCCTCCTGCATGGCAGTGAATGCTGGACAGTCTCTTCAGAGATGTAGAAGAGAATTGGAGTAACAGAAATGTGGCTCTATAGAAGGATGCTGAGGAAACTATGGACAGAACATGTAAGCAACGACGAAGTGTTAGAGAAAAAAAAAGGAAGCTTATACTTAACATCAGTAAGAGACAGTCGAAAGTCTTGGGTACGTGTTATGCTACCTATTCTTTGGTAATGGACTCTCCCATAGATAATAAGTAGGAGTAGCAGTGGCAAATCTGGCAGAATCGCGTCTCGCGGTCTTTGACTGCGCACGCTTCCTGCCGAACTCTCTGCATTAGCAGAGAGGAACCCGGACGAGGTTCCGCCGAAGGGCAGAATCTCGTTCGGGGTGAATGACCTACCCTATCTCGTTATTACGAGTTATACGGGCATATTTTTGGCTGAGCCTACGGGCTCAGGAAACCCACGATAAAAATGACCTTGTGTCGCATGCAACCCTCGTGGGGGTGGCTAGATACTGAATCGCGTCTCGCGGTCTTTGACTGCGCACGCTTCCTGCCGAACTCTCTGCATTAGCAAGAGAGTGACGACGAGGTTCCGCCGAAGGGCAGAATCTCGTTCGGGGTGAATGACCTACCCTGATCTCGTTTTTACGAGTCATACGGGCATATTTTTGGCTGAGCCTACGGGCTCAGGAAACCCACGATAAAAATGACCTTGTGTCGCATGCAACCCTCGTGGGGGGGTGGCTAGATACTGAATCGCGTCTCGCGGTCTTTGACTGCGCACGCTTCCTGCCGAACTCTCTGCATTAGCAGAGAGGAACCCGGACGAGGTTCCGCCGAAGGGCAGAATCTCGTTCGGGGTGAATGACCTACCCGATCTCGTTTTTACGAGTTATACGGGCATATTTTTGGCTGAGCCTACGGGCTCAGGAAACCCACGATAAAAATGACCTTGTGTCGCATGCAACCCTCGTGGGGGTGGCTAGATACTGAATCGCGTCTCGCGGTCTTTGACTGCGCACGCTTCCTGCCGAACTCTCTGCATTAGCAGAGAGGAACCCGGACGAGGTTCCGCCGAAGGGCAGAATCTCGTTCGGGGTGAATGACCTACCCGATCTCGTTTTTTACGAGTCATACGGGCATATTTTTTGGCTGAGCCTACGGGCTCAGGAAACCCACGATAAAAAATGACCTTGTGTCGCATGCAACCCTCGTGGGGGGTGGCTAGATACTGAATCGCGTCTCGCGGTCTTTTGAACTGCGCACGCTTCCGCCGAAGGCAGAATCTCGTTCGGGTGAACTCTCTGCATTTTTGGCTGAGACGGGAAAACCTTGTGTCGCATGACGAGGAATTCCGCCGAAGGCCGAATCTCGTTCGGGGACGAGGTTTGAAAGACCTACCCTATCTCGTTTTTACGAGTCATACGGGCATTTTTTTGGCTGAGCCTACGGGCTCAGGAAACCCACGATAAAAATGACCTTGTGTCGCATGCAACCCTCGTGGGGGGTGGCTAGATACTGAATCGCGTCTCGCGGTCTTTGACTGCGCACGCTTCCTGCCGAACTCTCTGCATTAGCAGAGAGGAACCCGGACGAGGTTCCGCCGAAGGGCAGAATCTCGTTCGGGGTGAATGACCTACCCTGATCTCGTTTTTACGAGTCATACGGGCATATTTTTGGCTGAGCCTACGGGCTCAGGAAACCCACGATAAAAATGACCTTGTGTCGCATGCAACCCTCGTGGGGGTGGCTAAATACTGAATCGCGTCTCGCGGTCTTTGACTGCGCACGCTTCCTGCCGAACTCTCTGCATTAGCAGAGAGGAACCCGGACGAGGTTCCGCCGAAGGGCAGAATCTCGTTCGGGGTGAATGACCTACCTGATCTCGTTTTTACGAGTTATACGGGCATATTTTTGGCTGAGCCTACGGGCTCAGGAAACCCACGATAAAAATGACCTTGTGTCGCATGCAACCCTCGTGGGGGGTGGCTAGATACTGAATCGCGTCTCGCGGTCTTTTGACTGCGCACGCTTCCTGCCGAACTCTCTGCATTAGCAGAGAGGAACCCGGACGAGGTTCCGCCGAAGGGCAGAATCTCGTTCGGGGTGAATGACCTACCCGATCTCGTTTTTACGAGTTATACGGGCATATTTTTGGCTGAGCCTACGGGCTCAGGAAACCCACGATAAAAATGACCTTGTGTCGCATGCAACCCTCGTGGGGGGTGGCTAGATACTGAATCGCGTCTCGCGGTCTTTGACTGCGCACGCTTCCTGCCGAACTCTGCATTAGCAGAGAGGAACCCGGACGAGGTTCCGCCGAAGGGCAGAATCTCGTTCGGGGGTGAATGACCCTACCTGATCTCGTTTTTTACGAGTTATACGGGCATATTTTTTGGCTGAGCCTACGGGCTCAGGAAACCCACGATAAAAATGACCTTGTGTCGCATGCAACCCTCGTGGGGGTGGCTAGATATCGAATCGCGTCTCCGGTCTTTGGATGCACGATAAAATGACCTTGTGTCGCATTCGTGGGGGTGGCTAAATACCGAATCGCGTCTCGCGGTCTTTGACTGCGCACGCCTTCCTGCCGAACTCTCTGCATTAGCAGAGAGGAACCCGGACGAGGCTTTGCCGAAGGGCAAGGTTTCGTCCGGGAGCAAGAAGGGCCTGAACCCGTCTAATCGGCTTCAAAAAGGCTATTTTTTGGCCGAGCCTACGGGCTCGGAGAAACCCACAATAAAACCGGCCTTGTGCCATATTCGTTTCCCGTGGGTGAAATGATAAATACCGAATGGCGTCTCGCGGTCTCTGACTGCGCACGCCTCCTGTCAAACTCTCTGCGTTAGCAGAGAGGAACCCAGACGAGGCTTTGCCGAAGGGCAAGGTTTCGTCCGGGGAGGTAGACAGGGCCTGAACGCGTCTAATTGACTTCAAAAGGCTATTTTTTTGGCCGAGCTTACGGGCTCGGAGAAACCCACAATAAAACCGGCTTGTGCCATATTCGGTCCTCGTGGGTGGAACGATAAATACTGAATGGTGTTGAGCGCGTCAGTCGAGATTCGGACATTTGAAGTACCAACCATCACAACTAGATTTTCTGCGCCATTGACTCTTATTTTCCAAGTTCCTAACGTTTTGTACGTCGGACCTAATTTAGGACGACTTATTAGAAATACAAGCCTCCACTGTGAAAAATACTCCACAACAGTACGTAATGAGGAAAGAAGGCTTGGAGAATCTGATACTCACAAGGCTGACTGAAGACAAGATGGACAGAGGGAAACAACCCATGGAGCTTGAATAAATGGGGGCAGAACAGGACATAGAAAAGACAACAAAAAGATAGAAATTATTAAAAGCTATAAAGAACAGGACATAGTAGAGAGCCATGATCGCCAATGTCCTAAACTAACCCTACCTATAGGTAAAGATGATGTCATAAAATCCACTGCTATTTTTGCTATCTTTTCTTTTCCAATGCCTGTGCACTTGTATACGGAAAGTTATCTGGATTATTTTCAAATAACCCAACCCCTGTCCTGTTGTAAACAGTGCAAGACGAAATCATTGTCTCTTAAATGTGACCCTCATTTCAATGCCTGTTTGGGTTTCATTGCTGATGGATTTTCTCAACTCAGTTTTCAGATTAAGTGACCCGGATAGAGCAATTCTATTAATCAGAACCAAATATTTCTAAATTGACAGCGGAAAGTTTACGAACCAGAAAAGCTCACGGCAATATTTCGCTTTAATCTATTCACATACGCGCTCTCCCTCTCTCTCCCCCTCCCTCTCCCCCTCCCTCTCTCCCTCCCTCTCTCTCTCTCCCCCTCCCTCTCCCTCTCTCCCTCCCTCTCTCTCTCTCTCTCTCTCTCTCTCTCTATCTATCTATCACTTTCGGGCGCATTTTGCCTGCACGCTTCACTGTGTCGTGAATATCTGAGCGGCCATATTCGCGGGCCTATGCATAGAAAAATACTGGGTCATTGCACATGTGTGTCTTTTTTTACAAACTGAATTTGTTTATCGTTGTCTTCAGCGTATATTTAACCTGTCATTATTTTAGTTGTTTTTGTTTTAGCCATTATTTTCCGTATTTTTCTTCTTTTATGTTCCGTCTCACTTCACGACGTGTGCGATCAAGGCTCGCCACAATTTCCTGTCTTTTCTAGCACCTAATAAACTCTGCCTGGTGCTACTAGAGTATGTCTACTATATAGCTTCTACTATGGTATCATATTTACCAACTACTGGAAGTATGAATTATGTTAAAAACCATAACCCAAATCCTAACACTGAAACAAACCCTAAAACTAACACTAACCTTAACCCAAACCCTAATCATAACCCTAACATCAAAACTAACCCTAACCCTAAACCCAACACCAAAACAAACTTAACCTAAATCTAACTCTAAACCCAAACCTAATCCTAAACCTAAATCTACGCCAACACTAACTCTAAACGCAAACCTAAATCTAACAACAACTAATGACTAACCCAAACCCTAACACTAATAACCCAACCCTAAACCCAAACCCTAACACTAACCCTAACACCAACCCTAAACCTAACCCTAACCCTAACCCCAAACCTAACTCAAACCCTAAACCCAACATTAACTCTAACCCCAAACCTAACTCTAAACCTAACTCCAACCATAACCCTAACCCGAACACTAACCCTAAACCTAACCCCAACCATAAACCTAACTCCAAACCTAATCCTAAAACTTAAACATAAACCTAACCATAAACCCAAACTTAACCCTAACCCCAAGCCTAACTCTAACCCTAACGCAAACCCAAACACCAACCTTAACCCTAAAATCTAACTCTAAACCTAAAAACCCAAACCCAAAAACATAACCAACCTAACTCTAACCCCTGAACCTGAAAAACCGTAAGCCTAACCTAAACCCAACCCTAATCCCAACTCAAACCCTAACATTAACCCCAACCCTAATCCTAAAAATTAACCTTAACCCTAACAGTAAAACCAACATTAAACCTTAAATTGTAACCCAAAAACCCTAACACAAATAACCCCAAACCTAACCTTAACCCTAACCGCAACCTACAAACCCTAACACCTAACCTAAAACCCCATGAGTCTAACCTAACACTAAGCAAAACCACCAACCTTAAACCTAACCCCAATCCTAACTCTAAACCTAAACCCCCAAACTGATAACCCCAAACGTAACACTAACAAACCTCCCCAACCAAAACCCAAACTTAACTAAACACAAAAACCAACCCTAACCCAACCTAAACCAAACCTAATCCCTGAACAAATTAACCAAAAACCTAAAACCCTATACCTAAACCCAAACCCTAAACCCAACCTTAACCTTAACCCCAACTCAAACCCTAACCCCAACCCCAACCCTAATGCTAAATTTTAATCCTAACCCTAAACATCAAAACCCAATCTCCAAACCTAACACGAAACTCTAACACTAAACAAACCCTAACCCTAACCCCTAACCCCAACCCTAAACCCCCCCCAACCATAAAACCCTAATCTTAAATTTTAAACCCAAAATTAAACCCTTAACCCTAACCCCAAAATCGCAACAACTAACCATAAACCCAACCTTACCCCTAACCATAACCCCAACCCTAACCCCAACCTAACATAACGCTAACCTAACCCTAACCCCAACCCCAAACCTAAACCTAAACCATGAAACTAACACTAACCCTAACCCTAAGCAAAACCCGACACCAACCCTAATCCTAAACCTTAACCCTAACCCTAAAACCCCAACCCAAACCTTAAACCAAACACCAACCCTACTGATAAACCCAACCCCCAACACTAACCCTAACCCTTTAGCACTAAACCCAACCTTAACGCAAACGCTAATCTTAAAGCACAACCCTAACCCCAACACTAACCCCAACCTTAACCCTAAAACCCAACCCCAACCCTAACCCTAACCCCAACAACCTAAACTTAACCCTAAACCCAACCCCAAACCCCAACCATAACCCTAACCCCTAACCCCAAGTTCCCAACCTAAACCCTAACCCAACCCTAAACCCAAACTTAAACCCCAACTCCAATCCAATCCCAAACCAAACTAATCCTAACCCAAACGTAACAATCCCAACCCAACCCTAAACCTAACCCCAAACCCAACCCTAACCCTAACCTTAACGATAACCCCAACCTAACCCTAAGACCCAAGACTAACCTTAACCTAACCTAACCCCAAACCAACCCAACCCTAAACCTAACCCTAACCTTAACACTAACAACCCCTAACGCAAACGCTAATCTTAACGAAGCCTAAACCTAACCTAAAAACCCAACCCTAAACCTAACCCAAACCCTAACACCAACCATAACACCAACCCTAAACCCAACCATAACACTCTCCCCAACCCTAACCCTAACCAAAAACTCAACCATAACCCTAAACACAACCCTAAACCGAACCCGAAACCTAACCCTTACCCCAACACTAACCCTAACCCTAACCCAACCCTAACCCTAACCCTAAACCCAAACTTAAACCCCTAAACCCTAACCTAACAGCCGTTACCCAAACCAAACCCAACCCTAACCCTAAACTCTAAAGCCCCAAATTTAACCCTAACCCCAAACCTAACCCTAACACAACCCTAAAACCTAACCCAAAACCTAACCCAAAACAACCTCAACCCTAAACTCAACCCTAACCCTAACCCCAACCCCAACCCTAACCCAAAACCCAACAACTCAACACTAACCCTAAACCCATAACCCTAACCCCAACCCTATCCCTAACCCTAAACAAACCCTAAACCTAACTCCCAACCCTAACCCTAAAACCCTAAAAACCAACCCCAACCCAACCCCAACCCAACCCAAAACCCCCAAACCCTAACCCAACCTTAACCCTAACCACAACCCTAACCCCAACTCTAGCCCTAACCCCAACCCTAACCCTAACCCCAAACCTAACCCTAACCCCAACCCTAACCCAAACCCATCTCTAACCCTAACCCTAACCCCAACCCCAACCCTAACCCCAAACCTAACCCTAATCCTAATCCTAAAACCATAACCCTAACCCCAACCCTAACCCCAACCATAATCCTAACCCAACTCCAACCATAACCCCAACCCCAACCCTAACCCCAACCCTAACCCTAACCCAACTCTAACACTAAACCCAACCTTAACCCTAACGCCAACCCTAACCCCAACCCTAATCCTAACCCCAACCGTAACCCTAACCCCAACCCTAACCCTAATCCTAATCCTAACCTAAACCCTAGCCCTAACCCTAACCCCAACCCTAATCCTAATCCTATCCTGAACCCTAACCCTAACTCTTCAAAATGTCACCACTTTATCTTCAATTATGATTATTTTGTCTGATGTTAGCCTATTTTTTTGTCCTGGAATTACATAAATACCTCCTTTTTGAATACAAATTCGATAAATACCCGAGTCTTTAGATTAAAATAACACTGTATATATTTTTGAGGCGTTAATTACTGTAGACCATAAGTGGGTTGTTTGCTAGAGTGCATCGTCATTTACCGTAGGTTGCAAATGCCTTGGTAGATATCATACTATAGTAGCATCCTCTGTCTGTTGGCCATTTTCTCTTACTGCCCGTTCTGACAAATACAGTAGGTAGGTCATACGCTGGCTCTCTCTCTCTCTCTCTCGTCTTCCACATGTCCTGTGAGTGCCAAATTTTCTAAACCGTCTTTCTTCATTATTTTCCCCTTGAAAGCAACTCTTTCTGATCCTACGCATAAGTTTCCTTTTTGGTTCTTTTTTTTTCCCTAAACCTTCGTCGTTGCTCACATGGTCTTAAACTTATACTTATTGAGGAATCGGAGAGCCGAGTTCGAATTCCATTCGAACCCATTACATTCACTTACGTGCTAATACCCTTGGGAAAGGTATGAATCCTCTTCTTCTTTCCCCAGCTGTGGGTAAATAGCAGAACAGACCGGATTCTATAGCCTTGGATGGCAACTCGTCTACTTCAGAAAGAAATGGCAACCTACTGCGAGAAAAATCTGCCTCGTCAGTCATGTATCAAAAGATACATGATCGTCTAAGTGTGTATCACGCATGGCACAAAACTGGCTGATATTTACATACGTGCTAATAATCTTGGAAAAGGCATGACTCCTCTTCTTATCCGCCCCCAGCTATGGGTAAATATCAGGACTGACCGGGTTCTATAGCCTTGGATGGCAACTGGTCTACCGCAGAAAGAAATGGCAACCTACTGCAGGGAAAAATCTGCCTCGTCAGTCATGTATCGAAAGATACATGATCGCCTAAGCGTGTATCACGCATGGCACATAACTGACTGGTGGTATTGTGCCGGAATAGGCGTGACCTGAAGTTCACACCAGAGATCAAGGAAGCCGGGTGTAACAGAGGATTGACCCGTGATCACTCCTAGCCACCGAAGGCGGGAGTACATCGCCTAGTACCTGCATCCGGTGTTGTGAACATGAGAAGGAGAAAGGTGAAAAGGTGGATATATAAACAACAGCCCCAGTCTCTCGCCCACTGCAGACAGAATGTAATGACGACGTGTCGGACGAGGGGTGTCCGGGGTCGCTAGCATTCCGCAAACTGGCTGGGAGTAACTGATGGAATATAATGTAATGAATTTGACTCGAATTCGAAGAACCGCAGAGTCGAGTTTGAAGTCCATTCGAATCCATTACATTCATTTACGTGCTAATAACCTTGGGAAAAGTATGAATCTTCTTCTTCTCCCCCCAGCTATGGATAAATAACAGACCGGGTTCTATAGCCTTGGATGGCAACTGGTCTGCCGCAGAAAGAAATGGCAACCTACTGTGGGAAAAAAATCTGCCTCTTCAGTCATGTATCGAAAGATACATGATCGCCTAAGCGTGCATCACGTATGGCAAATAACTGACTGTCGTTTATAAAAGAAAACGTTTGATGGGAAAACCTGGATCTGCTAGCTACGCGGTTGATGGAATAACCCGGATGTGTTGGCTACCGAATGCATATAAAATATCATTGGTAGTGAATAAAAGCGGTTGGGGTGGGGGTGACGAGGTGGACGAGTGGATTTACGGTTATTCAGACTTCCGGCTCTGTGCATTTGTGACTGTTTTGCTACAAGCTATTTCAGCGATCAGATGTGGAACAAAGCGTTCAACATCAAACTGAAACTGATTGAGAATGTTGAGCTGGTGTCTGATCGCTGTGAGGTAAAAAAAAAACAAAAACAAAACAAAAATAAGTAAACCGAGTCATTCCGTTACGACTCACTGGTGCACACTATTTACATTATTCGGACTATTATCCTCATCTTTGTCGACATGTTTATCACAACGTTTCGGCCGTTGTACGCTCTGTCCTTCTTCAGGTAGTTGGAATGTCGAACTGAATTCTTTATTTCGCTCGCTGGGGTAGACTGTTCTAGTTCCACGTGCCATGTTTGATGGATGTCAGTTATCAGTTATCTCCTGTTAATTTCCCTCTGAAAGTTCTCCACCGCCTAAACCAGGTATTGAACTCACAACTCTTCAACAAGTGAGAAGTGCGAAAAAAGTAACTGTTAGCATAAAACCCGTGGTTGCATATGCGAATTGATTAGATCTTACCGTTAATCTAGTTCTTTTTCTTTTTATGTGCCGTGTCCCTTCAGGACGTAGCCGATTATGGCTCTCCACTTCCTCCTATATCCTTTGCAGCTCTCAATATGATTTTTCCCCTCACTATTTCCCCTAGCCCATGTTTTGTCATCCACTTTCTTAAGCTCGCTATGTATGACATGCGTTGCTTACCCCTGTCTCTTTTTGTTATGGTCCGGTTCCTTGTACGACGGTGATAGTCCAAGGTAGAACCAATAAAGAAGAACTCGAACACAGGTATGGAATAACACAGATATATTACAAACAGGAATATATACAGATTAGTAGAAGTGTTAGTATGAACAATCGGGTTTAGTAGAGAGAACAATGTAGTCTCGACTAGTATCACTATTCCAATGTCTTGCAGTAATTGTCTGAACGCGACTCTGTTTCGGACTGCCTCTGACTCGACTCTTGACTCGACTTGAACTACTCACTCCATTTGAACTACTGACTCCACTTGAACTACTGACTCCTTGCCTACTCCTGAGGCGCAGTGTTTATCAAGTATGGAATAGTCCATTATTATTATCATGGATAAGACCCAATAACACTATTTTCCCCTCTGTTCGACCTGTGAGTACCAGATTCTCCAAGCCCTCCTTTCTCATTACGTTTCCCAGAAAATATCGCCTGCCTCCTCCTGATGTTAAGTATTAGCTTCCTCCCTGTTTGCATCCAAAACCTCATCGTTTCTCACATGATATCCTTAGGAATATTCCGTAGAACCACCTCTCTGTCGTCTTGAGTCTCTTCTTCATCTTTGAGGAGACCGTCCAACATTCGCTGCCGTAAAGGAGGACAGATATCACGTAGCAATTTAGTACTCTTTTCTTTGTTACCAACGAAATCCACCAGTCTCCTAATACTCTGCCTAATTTTGGGGAATACGTCTTCGGATCTCAGCGTCACACTGTCCGTCTTGTGTCAGAACACTTCCCAGATATTTAAATTTCCGCATCTGCTTTATTTTAGTGTTTCCGACCCGTAAATTTCATTCCGAGCTCATCTTTTTTTTACTGAACTTATTTTGGAAAAAAAAAAAAAAAAACCAAAAAAACGACCTGGCTATGGGCACACGAAAGACTGACTGATCACAATCTTTCTGCTTTCTAGTTCTGTTATAATACGACCTTGTGCCATACAAAGGTCAGTTTTAATAAGTGCTTTCAAGAGCCAAATTTTTTTGAGCGCGCGTTATGTGTGAGAGCCTCCCAATAAGTATCTGCATTTCCATAGCCGTCCGTATGACCTCGTATGTGCTTGATTGCATTTGCTCGTAATGACACTGGTGTACAATGTCAATTTGTAACGACTGAACCAAATCCAGATTAACGCTTCAATGACTTAGACAAAGTGACAAGCAATCGGTCAATTCCCTGCGGCATTCTGCCAGTTCGTCGCCCGCTGACGTTCACTCCGAACGGGCGTGTGTTATTTATTTATTTATTTATTTTAATTTGAAAATGATTTATACACTTTCGTTCTTTCTTTTTCTCTTTGTTGTTTTTGTTGTGCTCATTCATTCGTTCATGCATTTTTTTTCTCAACCCCTTTCTGGATATACATTATCGATTATTGATACCTTCTCTTTTACTATCATTCTGTCTTTTATTCTTTATAAACTTATCCCTTTCTTTTTCTCTTTCTTTCTTATCTAATATAATTCTATCGTTTCTTTCTTTCTGTCTTTTTTTCCTAGCTTTATCCTTTTCTTTCTTTCTCTTTTTATTTCTAATCTTTCTTTCTTATCTAATCTAAGCCCGTCTTTTCATTCTTTCTTTCGTTATCGCTTCTTTCTTTCTTTCTTTCTTTCTTTCTTATTTTTCTTTCTTTCATTCTTTCTTTCTTCTTTCTTTCTTTCTTTCTTTCTTTCTTCTTTCTTCTTTCTTTCTCTGTGATTTAATTTAATCCACTTCTTTATTTTTTAATAATAAAATAATAATTATCCAATATTTCTTTCTTTCTTTCTTTCTTTCTTTCTTTCTTTCTTTCTTTGTAATTTAATCTAATCCACTTCTTTATTTATTGTTTATTTAATAATAAAATAATAAAAATAATAATTATCCAATAATTCTTTCTTTCTTTCTTTCTTTCTTTCTTTCTTTCTTTCTTTCTTTCTTTCTTTCGTTATCGCTTCTTTCTTTCTTTTTTCTTTCTTTCTTTCTTTCTTTCTTGCTTTTTTCTTTCTTTCTTTCTTTCTTTCTTTCTTTCTTTCTTTCTTTGTAATTTAATCTAATCCACTTCTTTATTTATTTTTTATTTAATAATAAAATAATAAAAATAATAATTATCCAATAATTCTTTCTTTCTTTCTTTCTTGCGTTATCGCTTCTTTCTTTCTTTTTTCTTTCTTTCTTTCTTTCTTGCGTTATCGCTTCTTTCTTTTTATCTTTCTTTCTTTCTTTCTTTCTTTCTTTCTTGCGTTATCGTTTTTTCTTTCTTTCTTTACTTCTTTCTTTCTTTCTTTCTTTCTTTCTTTCTTTCTTTCTTTCTTTCTTTCTTTCTTTCTTTGTAATTTAATCTAATCCACTTCTTAATTTATTTTTTATTTAATAATGAAATAATAAAAATAATAATTATCCAATAATTCTTTCTTTCTTTCTTTCTTTCTTTCTTTCTTTCTTTCTTGCGTTATCGCTTCTTTCTTTCTTTTTTCTTTCGTTATCCCTTTATGTCTTTCTAATTTAATTATTTTCTTTCTTTTAATTTTTTGATTATCTAATCTAATCCCTTTTCATTCTTCTTTCTTTCTTTCTTTCTAACCTTCTCCTTTTTATTCATTTTCCTTTTCTTTCTTATTTAATCTAATTGTATCGTTTTTTTCTTTCTGGCTTTCTTTCTACCATTCTTTCTTTCTTTCTTTCTTTATTTATTTCATCTAAGCAAATCTTTTCCTTCTTGCTTGCTTTATCCCTTTCTTTCTTTCTTTTTTCTTTCTTTCTCTTTTTGTTTATTTGTTTCTTTCTTTCTTGCGTTACCGCTTCTTTATTACTTTCTTTCTAATCTTATCTAAATATTTTCTTTCTTTCTTTTTGGTTATCTAGTCTAATCCCTTTCTTTCCTTCCTTCCTTCCTTCCTTCCTTCCTTCCTTCCTTCCTTCCTTTCTAATATGTTTCAATCATCTCTTTCTTTCCTTTTTTTCATTCTTTTCTTCCTTTGATATGGTTTCTTTTGTTTATTTCATGGGTTTTCTTTCTTTTTTCGTTTAGTCTTTTTTCATTCAGCCTTTCTTTCTTTCTTTCTTTCTAATTTAATCTGATCTAATTATTTTCTTTCATTCTTTTTTCTTTCTTTCTGTTTTTGTTATCTAATCTATTTTACATATAGGTTTTAAAAATGCTTTTTTTTCCTTTTTTTTCTTTCATTCATGTCGTTTTATTGCCTTCATTCTTTTAAATTTCGTCACTTTTCTTTTGTTTTTCTTTCTTTTTCTTCCTTTCTTTTTCTTTCTTTCTTTCTTTCTTTGTAATTTAATCTTCTTTATTTATTTTTTATTTAATAATAAAATAATAAAAATAATAATTATCCAATAATTCTTTCTTCCTTTCTTTCTTTCTTTCTTTCTTGCGTTATCGCTTCTTTCTTTCTTTCTTTCTTTCTTTCTTTCTTTCTTTCGTTATCGCTTCTTTCTTTCTTTCTTTCTTTCTTTCTTTCTTTCTTTGTAATTTAATCTTCTTTATTTATTTTTTATTTAATAATAAAATAATAAAAATAATAATTATCCAATAATTCTTTCTTTCTTCCTTTCTTTCTTTCTTGCGTTATCGCTTCTTTCTTTCTTTCTTTCTTTCTTTCTTTGTTTTCTTATTTATTATTTACTGTCATTGACTTTTTATTATTTTTTCTACTTCATTCATCACGTTATTCTTTCTTCCTTTTTACGTTTTTTTTGTTTTTCTCTATCTTTTTTGTCTCTGTTTCTTTCTATCAATATTTCTTTCTTTTCTTTCTTTTCTTTTTATTCATTTTCCTTTTCTTTTTATCTGCCTCTAATTTTTCTTTCTTTCTTTTTCTTAATATTCGTCTTTCTTTTCTTTTACTTTGTCAATCATTTATTTTCTTGTTTCTTTCTTGTTTCTTTTTCATTCTTTTAAAGGATTTGCCATTAAATCTGCCTGGTTGACTCAACGTGGAATAATGGTGGACGAGTTGGTCAAGTTGACGATAACTATTAAGTATTAATTCAGATCCTCATTGAACTATCCACAGTTCTGGTATTGTGCCAGACCGACCTAAACATCGAAGAATATATATATATATATATATATATATATATATATATTCTTCGATGTTATATATATATATTTATTAAAGACATTTTTATGTTTAACGTTCTTTTTATAGATACAAGTATTTAAGTAAATGCTCTGTTTATAATAAACAGTATTAAATAACATTTACCGGCCTGAATGTCGAGAAATTTTCATAGAAAAATTCGTCCTTTGACAGGATTCGAACCTGCATCCTATACGGAACCGTCATTTACGCTGACGTGCCTTAACCGACTCGGCCACAACGAACAAAGAACGTTAGACATAAAATGTCTTTAATAAATAAATTGTCGGACTTTGTCCATTTCTTAATATATGACGTCATTTGTTTACATTTGATACGCCATGAGCAGTTATGAATGTACGAGATTCATGGAAGATTGAAGTTTATCAGTAAATTCGACCCTGCCTACCGAACGCTCCTTTGTGGCCGAATCGGTTAAGGCTTCGTCAGCGTAAATGACGGTTCCGTATAGGATGCAGGTTCGAATTCTGTCAAAGGACGAATATTTTCTATGAAAATTTCTCGGACATTCAGGCCGGTAAATGTTATTTAATACTGTTTATTATAAACAGAGCATTTACTTAAATACTTGTATCTATAAAAAAAGAATATTAAATATAAAAATGTCTTCAATAAATAAATTGTCGGACTTTGTCCATTTCTTAATATATATATATATATATGACAGCGCCAAGGAGGTACGGTGGAGTAGTGGATAGCGAGTTCGAATTCAAGGCGAATCCATTACATTCAATTGATACTTTTGCGAAAGATATGAATCCTCTTCTTCTCCCCCCAGCTATGGGTAAATAGAAGGAAAGACTGGGTTCTATAGCCTTGGATGGAAACTAACCTAGGAGAAGATCAACTTCAACACCTGCGGAGGGTTGTTTGGGGACCTTGTGCCGTTGTCTGGGCAGTCGATTCCTAGGAACTGAGCTGCTTGACCCTAATACGTCGAATACGACGGGAGAGTCCACCATACGATAGCTCTATTCAAAATTGTAGTAAGTATTATATATATATATATATTGAACAATAAAAAATATTTAAAAAATTAAAATCTTCAGACACACTGGGTTATAGATTAATATTCTTTCGTTTTTTTTTTGTTTTTTTTTTTATTATTTCATTTAGATTTCTCGACTAGTTTCGGCCAAAATGGCCTTCATCAGGAGAAGAAATATTTCTGCTTGCTGGTAGCAGTGAACTACAGAAATGAATGTCTTGATGGAGAAAATGAACTTTTATCTGTAGTTTTTATTCGTTTTTTTTATTTTTTATCTTTTTAACATGAATCTTTTAACATTACTTGTGTTGGTCAAACAGTCTCTTTTAAGTTGTTATTTGAGATAAGAGCTGAATGGATCCCATGGTCAGTTTGACAGTTTTATTGGACCTGGTGAGGGAATGTGTCTCTGCTAAGTGTGTGTGTGCGTGTGTTATTTGGTTCTTAGGGAGTGAGTGTGTATTGCTGTTGCTGTGTGTGTTATCATTTGGCTCATTATGGAGTGAGTGAGTATGATGTGTGTAAGTGTGTATATTCGTGTGGGTGAGTTATGTGATGCTTCAACATATATATATATATATGTATATATATATATATATATATATATATATATACAATATTTTATTATGAATATAATAAGGCGATGTTGTGCAATTTTTTGATGAAAATAATTTAGGATTTTCATCATTACTTACACAACATCTGATGATGGAACAAATTTTAAGTTACGAGACGTAGACATTTTTGTGTAGCTTTGTAAAATATTTCATAATAAAATATTTTTATAATATTTTGCTCTACATTGTGTCGAGAACTTAAAAAATACTAATAAGGGTGGATTCTTAATCTGTCTGTTCTTTTTCTCTTTATTTGTAAAATATATATATATATATATATATATATATATATATATATATTGTGCACTTAGGCAACAATCCTTCTTTCATTCACATTTCATTGGATACGACGGACAAGGTGTTTTGATTTAGTTTTTATACAATTTCTCATGCGATCTAATGATTTTTCCCTTTTCGGATGATAAATTATATAAAAACATTCCGAATGTTTTTTTTATCCGAGCGCTTTCGGCTATACATTTAGCCATTTTCAAGGATTAAATATTTTAACTGTTAAATAAGAAATAGTTTGTTCTATGTATGTTTTATAAAATATTTTCATTTTTCAAAACACTGTCAAGATATTGTGTCCTTGTTCAAAGTTAATATTATTAAGTGTTGTTTTTTTTTTTTGTTTTTATTAATAAGGCTTCCATTATTTTTAGCGTTTGCATGTAGATGATACTATTATATTAGTGTTGTCAACAAGTATGTTACGAATAGTGTCCGGTAGGTCTTCATGAATATTTAAATAAGATCTAATTGAGCTATGGTCAGAAAGATGTAGAGTGAGTCTGCGTGTCAAACATGTTGTAGTGAGGCCTATATAATTATTTACGAATTTTGATTGGTCAGGAATACAATTCATTAATAAGTATTTAAATTCGTAAATAATATTTTCCCTATTTAATTTTGTTCTAAGAGGTGAATTATTATTTTTAACTATAAGGTTAGAGGTTTTAAATTTTTTGTAGTAATTAATCCAATTTTTTTGCTATTGTCAACTGGTGTTATGCATTTTTTATAATGTTCTTAATTCTGCTTTCATCCTGTTTTTAATTTTCGTTCTTATTTGACAGTTAAAATATTTAATACTTGAAAATGGCTAAATGTATAGCCGAAAGCGCTCGGATAAAAAGAGCATTCGGACAGTTTTTATATAATTTATCATCCGAAAAAAATTATTAGATCGCATTAGAAATTTTATACAAAACTAAATAAAAGCAGCTTGTCTGTCGTATTCAATGAAATGTGCATATATATATATATATATATATATATATATATATATATATATATATATAATTGCGTGAGAGTTTGGGCAAGATTCTAGCTTTTATCGAGATTGACGCAGGTGTTATAAAGGATGATATATATTTAGACGGTTTGCCGGTGTATAGCTTTCAGTCGATCAACTTTCACCATTCATTTGTTCGTTGCTCCTGGAATTGTGCCCCTGTGCCAAACTTACGAAGTTAAACTTAATAAATAGACATATTAAATGCCATTCAATAATCTCAAGTGGTCACACAATCCCATCCTCACCAAGCCACATCCCAACCGCCGCCGTCGCCGCCACGGCCACCGCCACCGCTGCCCCGGGAAAAAGCCAAACCGAACGGTATTTCTTTTGACAAGCCTCACATTGCAGTGACCGCAAAGAGAATCGATGTAAGCGCTTCAATCACCGGTGGTAAGTGACCACTTCAAGCGTGTCGCCGAGAGACCGTACACGCCCGAGGACATGCCTCACCTGTTTCGATTGCTGCTCGTTGCTTTACCATCGGGAAATGGCGAAGGTTCTTCTGAAAAAGGTGACGGCGAGAAAGGGTCGTACAATGAATTGGCAAGAAGTGGAAGCACACACTTATGATTCCTGAGACGCTGACTAGATCGCTCGGAGTGGTTCCGGCCACCTACGAACTTGCGAATAACATTGTAGGTGCCATTGTAGAAAATTCGAATGGCCCCCAGGTAGACATTGCCATGTCTCAAATCCTTGTTAACGAGTCCAGTTTGGTGAGAGGCCATAAGTTTTGGACGGTATTGGTTTGGAAGCTCTCAAAGGTTTTGACCAGGATTTCTATTCCACTTCAGGAATATTGGTAACGGGAATGTTGTCTGTTTAGAAGTGAAAAAAAAAGAGCGAAGAACGAGGTCAAAGAGGCTGAGATTGGGTCAGAACGAAAGGAAGATTCTTGGAAGGAGCAAGATGCGAGATGTTCAAAACGAACACTGGGAAGAATCGATAGAGACAAATGGGTATTTTTTTTTATAAAAGAATATCGATCGATGAATCGATGAAGAAAAAAAGAGAAAACGAAAATAAAGAGGGACAATACAGGGAGAGGAATAGAGAGGAAAACAGAGAGAGAAAGAGTAAAAAAAGAGAAACAGAATGAAAAAGACATAAGCGGGTTTAGAATAGATAGATAGATAGATAGATAGATAGATAGATAGATAGATAGATATGAACAAATGTAGGTTTGATGGAACTGAAATTACATAGATAGATAGATAGATAGATAGATAGATAGATAGATAGATAGATAGATACAAAAACAGACATAATAAGGAACTTAGATAGATAGATAGATATGAACAGATGTAGATCTGATGGAACTGAAATTAGATAGATAGATAGATAGATAGATAGATAGATAGATAGATAGATAGATAGATAAAAAAAACACAGATAATAAGAAACTTAGATAGATAGATAGATAGATAGATAGATAGATAGATAGATAGATAGATAGATAGATAGATATGAACAGATGTAGATCTGATGGAACTGAAATTAGATAGATAGATAGATAGATAGATAGATAGATAGATAGATAGATATGAACAAATGTAGGTTTGATGGAACTGAAATTACATAGATAGATAGATAGATAGATAGATAGATAGATAGATAGATAGATAGATATGAACAGATGTAGATCTGATGGAACTGAAATTAGATAGATAGATAGATAGATAGATAGATAGATAGATAGATAGATATGAACAAATGTACATTTTGGGAATGAAATTAGATAGATAG